TACACATTGCATTTGTGTGGTTCCATCAAACACGTAGATTTTAATGCCTACAAAGCTGTGAGGCCTGAATAAAGCCTCCGCCACACACAGTACATAGTCCGTCTCAAAAAAAAAAAAAAAAAAAAAAAGAAAATGTTGAATTTTTTTTGGCAAAACATTATGTCTGTGACACATTCTTAATAAAACTATAGCAAAATGTAATTCCAGCAATTAGTGTGAATTCTACTAAAAAAAAAACCCAAACCAAAACAAAAAAAAAAACATGGTATTCTGGTTCTTCTGACCAAGCTCCCCATTCCAATAACTGTTATCTCTTCGATTTCAAAAATAAGCCTATTTTTCATCAATCTCTGCTATATAACTATTTTCACTTCATGTAAATAAAGATGCATGCCATGGTTATTTGGCACACAAACATGTAAAAATAAAATATGATATATATTCACCAACACTGTGGCAGGTTTCAGAGTGTAAGAATATCAAAATTGCACTTTCTATGGGATTTTCATTATATCCATATAAATAGTCTAAGGCAGAGTGTAGAGAGAATAATTCAAGTGCAGAGTATGATTACAGTTTCCCAAAATTGTATGTTGATTCCACAAAGAAAAAAAAAAATTGTTCTAGATCCTCCAACCTAAAAGACTGAGTGTATTGTTATTATCTGTTATGAAGTATCCTACTGAGGTAGGATAAAACAGTGTTGGTACAAAGAATGTGATTTGCTCATAGTTATAAGAAAATGTTGTGGCTGGGCGCGGTGGCTCATGCCTGTAATCCCAGCATTTGGGAGGCCGAGGCGGGCGATCACAAGGTCAGGAGATCGAGACCACGGTGAAACCCCGTCTCTACTAAAAATACAAAAAATTAGCCGGGCGCGGTTGTGGGCGCCTGTAGTCCCAGCTACTCGGGAGGCTGAGGCAGGAGAATGGCCGGAACCCGGGAGGCGGAGCTTGCAGTGAGCCGAGATCGCGCCACTGCACTCCAGCCTGGGCGACAGAGCGAGACTCCGTCTCAAAAAAAAAAAAAAAAAAAAAAAAGAAAATGTTGAATTTTTTTTGGCAAAACATTATGTCTGTGACACAATTCTTAATAAAACTATAGCAAAATGTAATTCCAGCAATTAGTGTGAATTCTACTAAAAAAAAAAAACCAAACCAAAACAAAAAAAAAAAACATGGTATTCTGGTTCTTCTGACCAAGCTCCCCATCCAATAACTGTTATCTCTTCGATTTCAAAAATAAGCCTATTTTTCATCAATCTCTGCTATAAAACTGCTACTGCCATTCAATAAAGTGGCAACCATTTCCCCTGCACTATTCCTATCACATATATGTCACTAAATAACCTATCACATATATGTCACTAATAACTTATTATCTCCTCTTATAAATTCCAGTGTCCTGAGGTCTTGGCTACTCAATGCAGGTAGAGCCTGACTTCCCTAAAACCCATCGTGTCTTTCTCTCAGAAGAGCACCTTGAACACATCAGTATGACGACTGATTAATCATAGTTTTACATTATTTTTCTGCTCCTAAACCATGGTCTCTCAATTGAGAGAATATTTAACTTTATAAGGAAGAGTCCTCCTTCTTCAATAAACGTAGATAAAAATTATCCTCATGTAACGAAGTAGCCCTTTCCTACCGTTTCTTCATAACTGCGTTTCTTTCCCAGACAGGCACCATGAAAGGTGCTTAAGGATGCAAAATAGCCACAGATCCATAGTTCAGGTTGAAAGTCACAAACAGTACTCTTTTTAAGAAACCTCAAACAATGGAATGAAAGATTTTATAACCTGAAGGTAAGCAGCCATTTCCAAATGTCCTTCAACCTTTGAAATATATAATGTCTTAAGTTTTACCATATGGGGATGTGTAATTATCGTGCAGTTTATCATATTAAAAGTGAATCAAAGAATTAGAGACTGAGTCACTCTTTATATGAATCCTCACCTACAGTTACAGTCTTAGAGTAAGAGCTTCAGGATACACATTGCATTTGTGTGGTTCCATCAAATACGTAGATTTTAATGCCTACAAAGCTGTGAGGCCTGAATAAAGCCTCCGCCACACACAGTACATTTATGTGAATTCTCATTATTATGGATTCTTGGATGTCTATTAATACTTGAACTCAAGAGGAGTTTGCCACAGTCGTTGCATTTTCTTTTTCCTTTATGATGGAGTTTTGCTTTTTGCCCAGGATGGAGTGCAATGGCACGATCTTGGCTGACTGCAACCTCCACCTCCTGGGTTCAAGTGATTCTCCTGCCTCAGCCTCCTATATAGCTGGGATTACAGGCATGTGCCACCAGGCCTAGCTAATTTTGCACTTTTAGTAGAAATGGGGTTTCACCCTGTTGGTCAGGCTGGTCTTGAACTCGTGACCTCAGGTGATCCACTTGCCTTGGACTCCCAAAGTGTTGGGATTACAGGCGTGAGCCACCGCGTCCAGCCAGTCATTGCATTTTCAAGGAATCTCTCAGGAATAAATTCTCTGATGTTGTCAAAGGAATGAATTCTAACTGCAAAAGTTACCACCTTCATTTGTAAGGTTTCTCCCCACTATGAATCCTGTGATGACTTGCAAGGTTTGAACTCTGACTTTAGAACTTTCCACACGTTACATTTGTAAGGTTTTCCACCAGTATGGATTGTCTGATGGGTAGTTAGGCTTGAACAGATACTAAAGGGTTTCCCACACTCATATGGTTTCTCTCCGGTATGAACTCTCTGATGCCTTTCAAGTTTTGAAGTTTGACTAAAGGCTTTGCCACACTCACTACATTTGTAAGGTTTTTCTCCAGTATGAATTCCTTGATGTCTTGCAAGGTGTGAATTCTGAGTGAAGACCTTCCCACACTCATTGCATTTGTAAGGTTTTTTCCCACTATGGATTGCCTGATGGGTAGTTAGGCTTGAACGGACACTAAAGGCTTTCCCACACTGATTACACTCATATGGTTTCTCTCCAGTATGAACTCTCTGATGCCTTGCAAGCTTTGATGTTTGACTAAAGGCTCTGCCACATTCACTACACTTGTAAGGTTTATCTCCAGTATGAACTCTCCGATGTCTTGCAAGGTGTGAATTCTGAGTGAAGACCTTGCCACACTCATTACACTTGTAAGGTTTTTCGCCAGTATGGATGACCTGATGGGTAGTTAGGTTTGAATGTTCACTAAAGGCTTTGCCATACTCATTATACTTGTAAGGTTTCTCTCCAGTATGAATTCGCTGATGCCTTGAAAGGTATGAATTATGCCTAAAGACCTTGCCACATACATTACATTTATAAGGTTTCTCTCCAGTATGAATTCCCCGATGTCTTGCAAGGTGTGAATTCTGAGTGAAGACCTTGCCACACTCATTACATTTGTAAGGCTTTTCTCCAGTATGGATGACCTGATGGGTAGTTAGGCTTGAATACACACTGAATGCTTTGCCACACTCATTACACATATAAGGTTTCACTCCAGTATGAATTCTTTGATGATTTGCAAGGTGTGAATTTTGAGTGAAGACCTTGCCACATTCATTACATTTGTAAGGTTTTTCTCCAGTATGGATGACCTGATGGGTGGTTAGGTTCGAATGTGCTCTAAAGGCTTTGCCACACTCATTACACTTGTAAGGTTTCTCTCCAGTATGAATTAGCTGATGCCTTGCAAGGTGTGAATTACGCCTAAAGACCTTGCCGCATTCATGACATTTGTAAGGCTTTTCTCCGGTGTGAATTACCAGATGAATAGCTAGGCTTGAACGAACACCAAAGGCTTTGCCACACTCATTACACTTGTAAGGTTTCTCTCCAGTGTGAATTCTCCAGTGATTTGTAAGGTGTGAATTTTGAGTGAAGACTTTGCCACATTCATTACATTTGTAAGGTTTTTCTCCACTGTGGGTTGCCTGATGGATAACTAGGCTTGAACGAGCTCTAAAGGCTTTCCCACACTGATTACACTTATAAGGTTTTTCTCCAGTATGAATTCCTCGATGTCTTGCAAGGTGTGAATTCTGAGTGAAGACCTTGCCACATTCGTTACATTTATAAGGTTTCTCTCCAGTGTGAATTTTCCGATGTTGTGAGAGTTGTGAATTTCGACTAAAGACCTTACCACACTCATTACATTTGTAACGTTTTTCGCCAGTATGGATTACCTGATGGGTAGTTAGGTTTGAACGTGTTCTAAAGGCTTTGCCACACTCATAACATTTGTAAGGTTTCTCTTTAGTATGACTTCTTTGATGACTCACAAGGTGTGAATTATGAGGAAAGACTATGCCACATCCATTAGATTTGTAAGGGCTTCTCCAATTATTTGCTTTTTGCCCCTGTGTGAGTAATAAAGAAGAGATAAAATCTTTGAGATACTTGTTAGAAATGTGCGTTTTGACATTATAAGGCATTTGTTGAAGTGATGAAACTGAGGAACTATTGTTGAAAGACTTCTCAACCTGATTACATTCATAAATTTTCCCTTCATATTCAAAAAGCTGCAGTTCAGGCAGATGTGACTGAAGGCTTAATCCAAGCTGATTTTTAATAAGCTTGTTTTTTGCATCTCTTTTATCATGTTCCTCTCTTCCATGAGTGAGATTGCCTTCTTGGGTCATAAGCACTCCTTTGTAATTTCCTTCAGCATCTCTGCATTGATACTCAAGGTCATGCGTATTTTTCTGGACTTCCCTGAAGGAACAGCCTTCAATGTCATGGCTTTCCTGTCTTTCCAACATCACTGTTTGGAGTATTTCTCCTTTATTACTCTTCCCTTTGTGTGGTAAATCTTTCATTAAAAATTCAGAAGAGAGAGCTACAAGATATAAAGAGCCGTAGGTTTCCAATTAATTGTAGTATGTAAACAAGTATTTTACACTGAAAAACAATATTACACCAAAAGCAATTCTTATACTGAACAGATTTATGAAACTTCAGAACAATAATATTCAATTTTTAGTAACACAAAAAAGAAAGAGGATTGTTTAATAAAGAAAAGTTGATTCCATGTAATTCAAGTTAATAGCATGGAAGCCTAGCTCCCAACCTACAAGACTGTAGCCAGCAAAGCAATCGTTCAGTAATAAAGGAGAGACAGTCTTCCCCAGACAAACAAAGCTAAGGGAATTTACCATGATCAGACCTGTTTTATAAGAAATGATAAAGGGAGTTCTTCAAATCCAAAGAAAATGACACAATGTAACTGTTACACTAATATTAATATCATAATCATGGTGTGCAAACCATTTATATATTTACTAAGAGGGCCAAAAGATAAAACTATTAAAAATAAGCACAACAATTTGTTAAGAGATAGGCAGTACACAACATAAATTGTGACATAAAAAATTCAAAATGCAGGGTGAGAAGGGAATGAATACACACAGAGGTTTTAGTTTCTTTTTTCTGCAATCAAAGATAAGTTGATATTGATTTGAGATAAACTGTTAAAAGCTATAGGATGTTTTTGTAAGTCTTATTTTATGGTCACCACAAAGTAAAAGCCTGTAATAGACATATTAATAATAAAGAGCAATGAATGAGTCATTTTGTTACTTCTTTTCTAATTGTTTTCTAACTCCTCTCTGGCTTTCTTTCTTACTGTCTTTCTTTGTGCTTAAGTGATTTTCTCTGGTAGTATAAGTCCTTACCTATCAATAATAACATTAAATATAAATGGACTAAATTCTCCAATTACAAGAGAGAGGCCTGCTGAATGGATTATAAAACATACAGCTAACTATATGTTGCCTACAACAAACAAACTCACTTCACCTATAAGGATATATGTAGACAAAAAGTGAGGAGATGGAAAAAGAAATAAAAAAAGAGCAGTAGTAGGTATAATTAGATAAAACAGACTTCAAGTCAATAAGTGTAAAAAGAGACAAGGTCAGTATATAATGAGAAAAGGATCAACTTAGCAAAAGGATATAACAAATACATACACACCCTAATATGTAAACCTAATGTTAATAAATCTAAAGGGAGAGATAGGAAGCAATACAATAATATTAGAGGACTTCAAAACACAATTTTTGGTAATGAATAGATCATCCAGGCAGAAAACCAATTAAAAAAAATTAGAGTTAAAGTATACTGCAGACTAAATGAACTTAAAAAAGACTTTTTTTTTTTTTCCTATTTTAAACAGATGGGATCTCCCTGTGTTGCCCAGGCTGTTGTGCAGTGCTTATTCACAGGTGAGTTCACAGTGCACTGCAGCCTTGAATTTCTGGCCTTAAGCATTCCTCTCTCCTCAGCCTCCCAAGTAGCTAAAATTACAGGCATGTTCCATGCCCTAACAGACACTTACAGACCATTTTATCCAACTGTTGCAAAATACATATTCGTCTCATCAGCACATGGATTATGCTTCAGGACAGATTATATATTAAGACACCAAACAAGTCTCAATAAATTCAAAAAAGTCAAAATTATATCTAGTATCTTTTCTGACCAGAGTAAAATAACACTAGAAACCAACAAGAAGAGCCTCAGAAGATACACAAACATAGCTGGGCACAGTGGCTCACGCCTGTAATCCCAACACTTTGGGAGGCCAAAGTGGGCAGATTACCTGGGGTCAGGAGTTAGAGACCAGCCTGGCCAACATGGTGAAACCCTGTTTCTACTAAAAATACAAAAATTAGCCAGGAGTGGTGGCACATGCCTATAATCCCAGCTACTTGGGAGGCTGAGGCAGAAGAATTGCTTGATCCCAGGAGGTAGAGGTTGCAGTGAGCCAAGATTGTGCCACACACTCTAGCCTGGGTGACACAGCAAGACTCTGTCTAGAAAAAAAAAAAAAGAAGATACACAAACACATGGAAATTAGATGACATATTCCTGAACAGCCATTGAGTTAATGAAGAAATTAAGAAGGAAATATAAACATTTCTTTCCCTTTTTTTTTTTTTTGAGATAAGGTCTTGCTCTGTCACCTACCCTGGAGTGCAGCTCAAGTGATCCACCCACCTGAGTCCCCCAAGTAGCAAAGTCCACAGGCACACGCCACCATGCCCAGCTAATTTTTGTATATTTACAAAGACGGAGTTTGGCTATGTTGCTCAGGCTGGTCTCAAACTCCTGAGCTCAAGCAATCTGCCCGCCTCAGCCTCCTAAAGTGCTGCGATTACAGGCATGAGCCACCACCATGCCTGGCTAAAAATTTCCTGAAACAAATTAAAATGCAAACTAGCACAATCTATAGGATACATAAAAAGCAGCAAAAAGAGGAAAGTTTGTAGCGATAAACACCTATATCAAAAAAATAGTAAGTCAACAAATAAAGTACCTAATGATACACCTCAACTAGAAAAGCAAGAACAAACCAAACCCAAAAGTAGTAGAGGGAAAGGAGTAATAAAGATCACAACACAACTAAACAAAATAAAGACTAAAAACACAATATCTAAGATCAATAAAATGAAAAGTAGGATTAAAAAAAAATTTTTTTTTGAGATGGAGTTTCGTTCGCTCTTATTGCCCAGGCTGGAATGCAGTGGCACGATACTGGCGATACCACAACCTCTGCCTACCGAGTTCAAAAGATTCTCCTGCCTCAGACTCCTGAGTAGCTGGGATTACACGCATGTGTCACCACACCCAGCTAATTTTGTATTTTTAGTAGAGATGGGGTTTCTCCAGGTTGGTCAGGCTGGTCTCAAACTCCCGACCTCAGGTGACCAACCCGCTTTGGCTTCCCAAAGTGCTGGGATTACAGCTGTGAGCCACCACACCCAGCCTAAAAATATTTTTTTTAAGAGATGGGGTCTACCTCTCTCACAAAGGTTGGAGTACAGTGGCCCAATCATAGCTCACTGCAGCCTTGAACTCCTGGGTTTAAGTGATCCTCCTGCCTCAGCCTCCCAAGTAGCTGGGACTACAGGCATGCACTACCATGATTGGCTAATTTTCATTTTATTTTTAGAGATGGGGTCTCTTACTATGTTGCCCAGGCTGTTTTGAACTCCCCGCCTCAAGCAATTCTCCCTCCTCAGTCTCCCAAGTTCCTGGGATTATAGGCGTGAGGCACCATGCCTAACTTGAAAAGTAGGTTTTTTTAAAAAGATAAGCAAAATCAACAAACTTTCAGCTAAATTGAAATAAAAGGTCAGGAGGAGGTACACCCAAATTAATAAAATCAGAGACAAAACAGAAAACATTAGAACTGATACACAACGGACCATTAGAGACAATTATGAACAACTACATATAAACAAATTTAAAAACCTAGAAGAAAGGGATGTGTTTCTGGACACATACAACCTATCAAGACTGAACCATGAAGAAACAGAAAACCTGAAGACACCAATAACAAAATTGAAGCTGCAAAAAAAAAAAAAAAAAATTCATGTAGAAGAAAAGCCCAGGATTGAATGAATTCACTGCTGAATTCTACCAAACACTTGAAGAATAGCTAATACTGGTTAGGCATGTTGGCTCATGCCTATAATCCCAACAGTTTGGGAGGCTAAGATGGGAGGATTGCTTGATGCCAGAAGTTTGAGACCAGCCTGGGCAACACATCAAGACCTCAGCTCTACTAAAAAATAAAAAACGATTTGGCCAGGCACGGTGGCTCATGCCTGTAATCCCAGCACTTTGAGAGGTCAAGGCAGGATGATCACCCGAGGTCAGGAGTTCAAGACCAGCTTGGCCAACATGGTGAAACCCCGTCTTTACTAAAAATACAAAAATCAGCCAAGTGTGGTGGCAGATGCCTGTAATCCCAGCTACTTGGGAGGCTGAGGCAGGAGAATCGTTTGAACCTGGGAGGCAGAGGTTGCAGTAAACCGAGATCACATCACTGCATTCCAGCCTGGGCAAGAGAACAAGACTCCATCTCAAAAACAAACTAACAAACAAACAAAAAAACCCACAATTAGTTGGGCATGGTAGTGTGCACCTGTAACGCCAGCTACTGGGGAGGATGTGGAGGGAGGGTCAGTTGAGCCCAGGAGTTTCAGTTTGCAGTAAGCTATGATTGTGCCACTGCACTCCAGTCTGGGTGAGATAGAGAGAGACTATCTCAAAATAATAATAATAATAATAATAAAGAAAGAAAAGAAAAAATAAAGAATTCTAATTCTACTCAAACTATTTCAAAAATTGAAGGGAGCACATATTTCCAAACTCATTTTATGAGGCCAGCATTACCCTGATACCAAAATGCAGACAAGGACACAACAACAAAAAGAAAACTATAGGCCAATACCCCTGATGAATATACATGCAAAAATCCTTGACAAAATAGAATTAGCAAATAGAATTCAACAACACATTAAAAAGACATTCACCATGATCAAGTAGGATTTATTCCAGGAATGCAAGGATAGTTTAACACACACAAATCAATTAATGTGATCCATCACATCAACAGAATCAAGGACAAGAAGCATATTATCATTTCAACAGATGCTGGAAAATGACTCAATAAAATCAATATCTCTCCATAATAAAAAGTCTCAACAACTTGGGTACAGAAAAAACATACCTAAGCATGATAAAAGCCATATATGACAAATCCAGAGGGAACATAGTAAACAAGAAAAAATTGAAAGCCTTTCTGCTAAGATCTGAAAGACAAGGATGTCCACTTTCACGACATCTATTCAACATAGCACTGATGTTCTAGCCAAAGCAATTAGGCAAGAGAAAGAAATAAAAAACATACAAATTGAAAAGGAAGAAGTCAAAACATACTTCTTTGCAGATGACATGATTTTATATTTAGAAAAACCTAACAACTCCACTAAAACACTCTTAAAATTTAGCAAACTATATAGAATTTGGATCTATATGTCTGAGAACTGGGCATCAGATAGAATCAACTATAGAAGGAAACACCAAAGGACATCAAACAACCCTTTTGTAACAGCCCTCCCTGTGCCACATACAGTCAAGGAACCAGAGTTCTCAGAAGCTAGATAACATTGTTGTCCATCATGATAAAGACTTTGTCTGTTTGAGCTGCAGCACCATTGGAAGGTGAAAGGATATAGTACAAGTCTAAAGGATAGACAAAAGGGGGCAAATAAAGATTTCTTTTCAGAGGTCACAGGATTCAAATTTCTGTTCTCCCATAGAACTCTCAAATTTGCATAGAGTTTCCTAAACACTATTTAATAAGCGGCATTTTCTCTACCCATCTGAACTCTTACCTGTAATTACGGCTTTGATCCATTCCCATCCATCTGGGTTTCTTGCTATCTGTACTTGGCTCTCCACAGTGAAAGGCTCCTTCCCTTGCTCCAACATAGAGATAATACTGAGGTCAAAACAAGAGATTCCTGCTTATGAAAAGAAAGGAAAACAATGGGCTGTAGAGTCCCAGTCCTATGTTTCCAGAGTCCCAGTCCTATGTTTACATGAGGAGGGAGGACTTTACAGCTGTATCTAAAAAAACACTTCAAAAATTCATCCACTAAATGCTTCCTTATAAATTGTTAGGAAACACTATAATATGCAAATATATAGCTCTCATCCCAAAACCACTAAATCAAAGCATGGGGATAGAAAACAGGGAATTGGATATTTTAAAAGTCCTGAAACCCTCCAGTGATATCGGGAAGAGGACAATTAAAATCCAGTTTCCACATTATGGAGACTTTCATTTTTGAGTCAACACAGCTTCAGTTTCAGCCAAGCAATGCAGGAGCTCCCAAGAGACCCACATGGAAAATGAAAAGATACACAGGGGAAGATCCTGACTTCTGGAAGAAAGTCATCCTCACCCAGGGAGGCCAGGTTCCTATAATTCTCCAACATCACATCCCTGTACAAAGTCCTCTGAGCGGGGTCCAGGCATGTCCACTCCTCCTGAGAGAATTCTATAGCCACATCCCTGAATGTCACCTGTCCCTAAAATGAAAAACACATTCACCAAGGGGATATGAAGAAAGTTCCAAACATCACATAAAATGAGGAGGGAAAATAGATGAAACTGAAGTGAGTGGAACAACATCGAAGTTGTGATATAATAAAATATACATATGGTCTTCATCCCCCTTTCCTGACATACATCTCACTTGGAATCTCTGGAGTGATAAGTGCCTTTGTAAGCTAATAAGATGACTGGTGGCTGGAGGCCCCAAGATAGTTTCAGAATAGGGGGGTGGTTACCAGAAAGACCAAGGCAGGATTAGAAAGTTGGGACTTCGAGCCCCATCCCCCAACTTCCCCTGAGGGGATGGGGGCTAAAGGCTCAGTTGATCACCAATAGCCAAAGATGTAAGCAATCATGCCCACGTAATGAAGCGCCCATAATAACCCAAAAGGACAGGGCCTGAACAAGCTTCAGGATAGGGAAACACATGGAGGCTCTGAGAATGCTCCCCGACCCCCACCAAAGACAGCACTCAACCTCCCAAGTAGTTGGGATTACAGGAAAGCACCACCATGCCATGCTCCTTTTCCCATACCTTACCCAATAGACTGCTTACATCTGGCTGTTCATCTGTATATTCTGTAATATCCCATATAATAAATGGGTCAATATAAATAAAGTGTTCCCCTGATTTCTGTGAGCCATTCTAGCAAATCATTCAAACCTGAGGAGAGGGTCATGGGAATTCATGATATATAAGCCAGTCAGTGAGAAGCAAAAGGCCACTTGTATTTGCAGCTGGTATGGAAGTGGGTACACTCTTGTGGGACTGAGCCCTCAACCTGTGGGATCTGATGCTATGTCCAGGTAGATAGTGTCAGAATTGAACTGAATAGGAGGTCACTCAGCTGGTGTCCAGTGCAGAATTGCTCGCTTGGTGTGTGTATGGGAAAACCCAGGACATCTGGGATCGTGTTCTCTGTTCTGAGAGTACAGTAGGAGAAACTGGGTCTGTTTTCACCACATTCTCACACACACAGGTATTTTTGGGCAGAATGTTTTCTTAATTCTGTCTTCCTATACTTTTCTATAAGAGGTTAGGATAGTCTTTAAATCAGTGTTGATTTCTCAGTTTGGTAGACAATACAAAAACTATACAAATATACAAATAAAAAACCAACACCGGGTTATCTTTATTGAAGTGTTATATATTATGTCTGACACACCGAGTGATATTCAGTATCCAGATGATCTACAGCGTGAGTGATGTCTTACGAGATGAAAATGTGTACAGTGAATTTAAAGAAAGACAGGTTAGAATCTAAAAACTGTGATGATCATCGCAATGACAGATGTTTCTGAGCACTTCCCAAGTGCAAGGCATTATTCTACTTATTTATTTATTTACTTACTTATTTTTTTGAGATAGAGTCGCTCTATTGCCCAGGCTGGAGTGCAGTGGCATGATCTTGGCTCACTGCAACCTCCACCTACTGGGTTCAAGCAATTCTCCTGCCTCAGCCTCCCAAATAGCTGGAATTACAGGCACCCACCACCATGCTTGGCTAATTTTTGTACTTTTAGTAGAGACGGGGTTTTACCATGTTGACCAGGCTGGTCTCAAACTCCTGACCTCAGATGATCTGCCCGCCTTGGCCTCCTAAAGTGCTGGGATTATAGGCGCAAGTCACTGTGCTTGGTCTGGCATTATTCTAAGTAAATGTCTTGCATTTACTAGCTTGTATATGAATATGATAGCCCATGAGAGAAAGATCTGTTCCCATCTTACTAACAGATAAATATATAACAGATACTCTAAGAAACTTGCGTCAAGTCAAAGAGCTACAATGTCAGAGCAAGCACCTAAATCCAGGTGTCTGGGAATAAGAATTAAACCTAAAGAATCAAATAGTTGGCCAGGCCCGTTGGCTCATGCCTGTAATCCCAGCACTTTGGGAGACCAAGGCAGGCGGATCATGAGGTCAGGAGATCAAGACCATCCTGGCTAATACGAACTAAATCCAGGTGTCTGAGAATAAGAATTCAAATAAAACGCTCAAACTAACCCAAATAGTTGCCAGTCCAGTTGGCTCATCGCCTTACTCACGAGCACACTTTGGGAGACAAGGCAGGCGGATCATGAGGTCAGGAGATCAAACCATCCTGGCTAATACGTTGAAACCCCGCTCTCTACCTACAAAAAAATACACAAAAATTTGCCTGGGTGTGTGGCAGGGCACGTGTTAGTCCAGTACCTCGGGGAGGCTGAAGGCAAGGACAAGGCAGTGAACCCGAACCGAAGGCAGAGCTTGCAGTGAGCCAAGATTTGCCAGCGCGACGCCAGCCTGGTGAAAGAGCAGACCTCTGCTCTCAAAAAAAAAAAAAAGAATCAAATAGTTAAGTAAAAGAACATGAAAAGTTACCTAAATGAGCAAAGTTTGAAACAAGTTCATGAATAACAATATGGACTTCATAAAAAAGGTAATTGCCGATATATAACACAGCATTTATCTATGCCCATAATATGCTTACTATTCTACACTATTAAATCATTTAATGTGAATAAGTTGAGACAGAATTATAAGGCACAGAAAAATATTTAAGATACAACTTTGAAATTGCGCTAAGAAGCAACAACACAACTTATTTTGAACATCACGGAGGTTAGGCTAGGTGTGATCCTACACCTACCTGTAATCCCAGCACTTGGGAGGCTGAGTCAGATGATCACCTGAGGTCAGGAGTTCGAGACCAGCCTGACCAACACATGGTGAACCCTGTCTCTACTAAAAATACAAAACTTAGCGGTGTGATGGCAGATGCCTGTAATCCAGCTACTCGGAGGCTGAGGCAGGAGAATCGCTTGTACACGGGAAGACAGAGGTTGCAGTGAGCTGAGATCGCACCACTCCCTCCAGCCTGGGTGACAGAGTAAGACTCTGTCTCAAAAAAAAAAAAAAAAAAAAAGAAATCATGACATGTGCTTAATAAAAAAACATGCACTCACATCACATATACACAGTTTTAGTAAAACAACAGTGAAAGTTAAAACATCCACTCCTCTCCTCATTCAGAGAAGGCTCCAAAAAAAAGATGGAGAATGAGCTGTCCAATCTTTCCTAACATGGAAAACACGAGTAAAT